CCCCCCAGGAGATGGCCATGCCGCTATCCCTTCTCCTCCATTCTCCTCTCAGGATCTTAGGCAAGCACACATACGTGCCTGGTGTGAGTTTTAAGCCACTGGGTCTGGGACTCAAACCATAGTTAACTACATAGTAGTCCAACAATATGACCATTACGCCATCTGCTGGTCCCTCAATAGATATATGAAAGAAATGTATACTAATTTAATTACTCTAGTTGTCAATTTTAAAAAAAGTGAAATTTGGTAGTTAAAGGCACTGGACTCCCACATGGCTGACTGCGGTTTGAATCCTGGACCTGGGGGCTTGCTCTTTTACTTTTTCTCTCTCTCTTTCTGTCCCTCTCTGGTCAGATTAAAATAAACAAACAAATAATTAAAGTTAAAGACAATAATTTTTTTTTTATAAAAAGTGAAATTAGGACCAGACGGAGGCACAGCAGTAAAAGCTGCTTTGCAAGGCTGTCCCCCATGGAAAGATCGATTTGCATTCAGAAACCTCCCCGAGTATACTGGGAACATGCTTGCCATGACCTGGGGTTAGCTGAGGTCTGGGGGGTGGATCATGGTATCAAGACCCTTTCTTGGGGGTAGGGTGTGTGTTCATATGTGTGTGTACATGATCTCTCTTTGTCTCTGTCTTTCATGAAAGAAATAAAAATAACTTGGAGCTGGCAGATTGAGGGCACTGGATTCCCATATGGTCGACTACAATTTGCATTCCGGACCTGGCAGCTTGCTTTATCGCTCTCTTGTCAAATTAAAAAAAAAAGTTAAATAGATTAAACAATTATTTAAAAAAAATTTATAAAAATTTAAAAATCCAAAAGTGAAATGAATAAGATTTCATTTAACTCAATATATCTAAAAATATTATCATTTCAACATGTAATAAAAACTAGAGATATTTTACATTCTCTTTCATACAAGTCTCTGAAATTTTTTATTTTATACCTAAAGTATGTCTCAAGATACTGTATTAGGGACCAGCAGTTGGCATAATGACTAAGTCACTGGACTCCCATGTAGTTGTTGATGTTTCGAATCCTGCGGTAGCTTAAACTCACATGGAGCACATTTGAGAGGAGAAGGGATTGGGGTGTAGCCATACCCTGGGGGGATGATTTCTCACTTTCTGTCTCTGTCTTTCTGGTGAGCATATGTGCCCTACAGCAAAAACCTCTCCAAAAGAAAAAAAAAAAAAGGAAGATGCAATATTATAGGGGCCAGTAGAAGGTGTAGTAAAGTTACATCGCTAGACTTGCACATGGCCAATCGTAGTTCAATTCCTGGACTGGTGGTTTGAGACTTACACTAAGGATGTGTGTGTGTGCCCAAGATCTCAGGAGGAGAATGGAGGAAAAGAGATTGCAGCATGGACTCTCCCTAGAGAGTTATTTTTCACTTTCCTCTCACTGTCCTCTAGCGAGTGCACACACCCTAAGGCAAAAATCTCTTATTGAAAAAAAAAAAGATGCTGTATTAAAACCAAAAATACTTTATTTACGTTTAGATTTAAATGATAATATATATAGTCAAAAAAAGTAGGTTTACAGGGCCAGCTGGTGGTGTGGTGGTTGTATCCCACATGATTGACTGTGTGGTACAAGTCCCAAAACTGGCAGCTTGAAAAACATGTCAGGCATGTATATATTCATGCCCAAAATCTTAGAAGGAGAAATAAATGGAGAGGAGACTACAATGTGACCATCTCTAATTGGGGATTCTTTCTCACTTTCTCTCTCCTTGTTTCTCCCTGGTGAGAACATGCACTCTGTCAAAAATTAAAAGGAGGAAAAAAAAATAAAAAGAAAAAGTAGGCTTATTTATCTAAGTTTTTCAGGCTACTTAAAACCTTCCAATAATTAAATTATAGGTTTTAAATAGGAAAAATTAAGTTACTTAGTTATACTAGCCACATTTCAAATGCATAATAGCCACACGTAGCTAGCTATTGCATTGGATAGTGCTGCTCTAAAACATCTGAACCACATGTACATATCTCTGCCCTAGTATTAGACCAATATAATCTTCTATGTTAAGTACCATTCAACATTCCCTTCTTTTGAAACTTTGGCTTCAGGGTTGTCCCTGTAACCTTAAGGGAGCAAGATCCCACAAGGCTGACTACAGCTTGAATCCTAGCCCTATATGCTTGAAAAATATGCTGGTTGCCATGTACACGCATGCTCAAAATCCCAATAGGACAGAAAAATGGAAGAGAGGGTATTGTGGTGTAACTATATTCCAGTAAGAGGTGCTTTTACTCCTTCAAACCCCTGTGAGTGGATGTACCCTGTGGCAATTAAAACAAACAAAACAAAAAATCCTTGGATTCAATAAATAATTTTACTAACAATAAAATTTTAAGAATGTGAAATCAGGTTAATTAGAAGTTCATAGCCACACAATATTAAGCATGGATATCCTTTGATTTATAAAATTGACTCAAAAATATACATAAGAGGGGCTGGCAGGTGCCATGGTGGTTAAGACAGCTGGACTCCCACATGGCCGAGTATGGTTTGAGTCCTGGACCTGGCAGCTTGCTTTCTCACTTTCCTTCTATCTCTCTGGTCAACTTCAATAAAATTAAAAAAGTAAAATAATGACAATGAATAAAATTAAATAAGTCTTTTAAAAAGTACATAAGAAAACTTGGCATATACAATCCTTTTTCATTTAGAATTATTTAATTTTATTAGTTAATTTATTATTTATTTATTTATTTAAATTTGACCAGAGAGGGACAGAGTGTGGGGAGGTAAGTGACAAAGTAGTCAGCCATGTGGGAGTCCAGTGCCTTAACCAAAATGCCACCTGCTGCCCCATGAGTACATCATATTATTCATCTAATTAATTACATAATCTATAAGTAATATTGAACAGGAAAAAATCTGACTGAGTATAAGAAGTGGGTTTAACACAATATTTGGATACTTGTGGTATGTTATGTCTATATAGAATTGACTCCTCATGTGATTAGCAGATAATGTAATGTTTACATCGCTGGACTCCCTTACAGTTGACTGCGGTTCGAGTCCTAGACCTGGTGGCTTAAAACTCGTATTAGGTGTGTGTACATGCATGCTCAAAATCTCAAGAATAGAATGGAGAAGGGACTGAGGTGTGGCCATCCCTCCAGGGGGTGATTTCTCACTTTCTGTCTCTGTCTAGCGAGTGTATGTGCCCTATAACCAATATCTCTATAAAAAAAAAAAGAGTCCTCATAATAGTTCATTAAATATAAAAAAGTCGGGACCAGCAGTTAGCATAATGGCTATGTCACTGGACTTCCGTGTAGTTGACCACGGTTAGAGTCCTGGACCCAGTGGCTTAAACTCACACTGGGTACGTGTGTGCGCATGCCCAAGATCCCGAGAGATGAGATTGCAGTGTGGCCATTCCCCCTGGGGAGTGATTTCTCGTTTTCTGTCTCTCTGGCGAGCACATGCGCCTACAGCAAAAACCTTAAAAAAAACCAGCAAAAACCTTAAAAAAAAAAAAAGGCCAAGGCTGGCAGGTAGCGTGGTTAGGAGTGCTGGACTCCCACATGGCTGACTGCAGTTCAAGGACCAGACCTGGCGGCTTGTTGTCTCTCTCTTGCCCTGTCCCTCTCTGGTCAAGTTGAAGGAGATGGGACTGTGGTGTGGTAAACTCCCACCCAAGGAAGTGATTTCTCTCTCTCTTTCTCTGGCTAGTTCACATACCCTATAGCAAACTGAAAAAAAGAAAAAAGGAAAACAAACCAAAGCAACATTGAGGAGGTTCTGTGGCCTGGTGGATAAGGCAGGCTGACTGCACATGGCTGACTGCACAGTTCAAGTCCCAGACCCAGCCACTTGAGAAAATGCCAAGTGAGTGTTTATACATGTCCAAAATCCCAAAATAGAGAAATAGAGATTGTGGTGTGACGTGCCCCATGGGGGTTGCTTGCTTCTATCCCTTTCTGTCTTGCTCTGGCTATGGTATAGTTCCCAACAGTCAGAAGTTTCCTAGTCAACATCTGTTGAATTAAATTTGATCTAGTAATATGACTGAAGAAAGTACAGAAGCATTCCTAATAACAATTTCTGAGCTGGTTTCAGGATAAGTATTGATGCATTCTGGGCTAAATCCAGGGAGAATCAGTTACTGGAGCAACAGGTGGACATCTATATGAAATGCTTATGTTAAAGTGAAGCTTCAGGGCCAGCTTTATGGTATGGAGGAAATGTGCTGCTTAAGAGAAGTAGAATCTCCTATGGTAACTGAGGTTTGACTCCTTGGCCTGGTCAGAAAGGCCAGACCCTATGGAGAGTACTCTTTTTTTCTCTCCCTCATATTCTCACATGTGCTCTATCATGAATAATAAAGTAAAATGAAAATATTTGTAAGTTGGCACTTATGTATATTAACTTACCTCTGGTTCTATGTTTAATGTCAGATTCACCATCATTCTCTTCTTTTTCCTCTTCATTAGTGGAAATAGCATCCAGTTCATGGCAGATGGAGCTAGAAGTAATAGAATAAGAGAATTTTAAATTTGGTTTCTGGTCAATAATACCCACTGTATAATAGCACATGAATTTCATACAACTTTTTATGAAAAAATTATGTGGCTAAATAAATTTGGGATATTCTAAAAATTATGATCTCTTCTTAGAGTGTTTCATGAAGTAGATTTCATATATATGTATGTTATATATTATATATGTATGACTATGTAACATATATATTGGATCATTGGGAAAGTCATGATGCATTTTTACATACAAAAACATAAAAAACTACGTCATGATTTTCTTGATGACCTAATATATATTTTATATATATATACACACACACACACATATATTTTATATATATATATACATATATATATTATATATATGTAAACACATGCACACACATAAAACCTAGGGAGTAAAAAGAGTCTTCTCTTCCATTCTTCTCTTGGAATTTTGGGCATGCAAGCATAAACGCCCAGTATGAGTTTCAAGCCTCTGGGTCTGGGACTTAAACTGCGGTCAGCCATGAGGGAGCCCAGCGATGTAACCATTATGCCATCTGCTGGTCCCAATATTTTATATCTTACACACACACACGCACAATTTTGCTAATGGGCACAGGCACTCGCCAGGGAGATAGAGGGAGAGAAAGAGAGAAATAAAGTAAGAAAGCATCCTCTATGGGGAATAGTCCACCATGATCCCTGTTCTCCATTCTCCTTTAGGGATTTTGGGCACAGATGAACACACACTCAGCATGTTTCTCAAGCTACTAGGTCTGGGACTTGAATCATAGAGTTGCCCATGTGGGATCTAGCTACCTTAACCACCATGCCACCAGCTAGCATCATATTAAAGACTGAGAAATGTTGTACTAGGCAACAGGTGGTGTAATGGTTACATAGCTGGACTCCCACGAAGTCAACTGTGGTTCGAGTCCTGGGCCAGGCGACTAAACACTCATGCTGGGTGTGTGGACTTCAGGGTGGCCAAGCCCCCAGAGGGTGATTTCTCACTCTCTGTCTCTCCAGTGAGCACACATCGTACAGCAAAAATCTTTCTTAAAAAAAAAAAAAAAAAAGGAAAGAACTGTTGTACTAAAGAAACTTAGTGTGTTGAAGTCAGTATTTCGTAAACTTCAAAGACTTTAAAATCTTTTTATTGCATAGTAGCTGAAAATTTACACTGGTCTAGTAGGTTATTATCCTTTAACATCAGAATCAAGCATCTCCACAGTCAAATATTTTATATCCCACATAGCCACCTCTTTAAAGGGGTCTAATCCAATCTACTTCCAATTCTGAATAATAATCACAAAAAAATGAGGAGTGAGCAATGATCTGGAACATACCTTATGGTTGGAACACTAAATGGATCAAACTGATCCACTTTCTGTAAATCGATAGGCACAGAAATACGACCTGTAAGAACCCAAAGTTATAAACTGATGGTTATGGAATATAAATCATTATAAGTATCTCCTATGAGTTATTTTCAGTAAAAAATTTTTAAAAGATTTATTTAATTTTGGGGCCAGTAGGTGGAGTGGTGATTAAAGGTGCTAGATTCCTACATGGCTGACCATGGTTCGAGTCCCAGACTTGGTAGCTTGCTTTCTTGCTTTCCTTTTCTCTCTCTCTCTCTGGTCATATTTTAAGAAAACAACAAACAAGGGAACTAGCAGTTAGCGTAATGGCTATGTCGCTGGATTCCCACGTAGTCGACCGCGGTTCGTGTCCCGGACCCGGTGGCTTAAAACTCACGCCGGGCGCGTGCGCGTGCGTGCCCAAGATCCCGAGAGGAGAATGGAGGAGAAGGGATTGCGGCGTGACCATCCCCCCTGGGGGTGATTTCTCGCTTTCTGTCTCTATGTCTCTCTCTGTCTGTCTGGCGAGCGCATGCGCCCTACAGTGAAAATCTCTCAAAAACAAAACAAAACAAAACAAAAAATTAAATAGATAAATAATTCTTTTTAAAAGATATTTAATTTTATTTCGTATTTATTTTTAAATTACTATAGGGTTTGTGTGTTCATCAGAGAGAGAGAGAGAGAGAGAGAGAGAGAGAAAGAGAAAGAGAAAGAGAAAGAGAAAGAGAAAGTGAGAAAGCAAGCTGCAGGTCTGGGACTCAAACCAGTCAGTCATATGGGAGTCCAGTGCCTTAACCACTATGCCACCTGCTGGCCCCAGTAGTTGAAATTTGAATCTAAGGCTCAGAGAATTAGTTACACATCTGCTAATAATAATATTTAGAAATTGGGGCCAGCAGGTGGCGTGGTGGTTAAGGGCGTTGGACTCTCACATAGCTGATCATAGTCTGAGTCCTGAACCTGGAGGCTTGCTGTCTCACTTTCTCTCTCTCTCTCTCTGTCTCTCTCTGGTCCAATTTAAACAAATAAATAAGTAAACAAAATAAAGCTAAATAAAATAATTCTTAAAAAAAAATTAGGGGACCAGCAGTTAGCGTAATGGCTACCTCCCAGGCCTCCCGTGTAGTCAACCACAGTTCGAGTCCTGGACCTGGCGGCTTAAACTTAAGCTGGGTGCTTGTGCGTGCATGCTGAAGATCCTGAGAGGAGAATGGAGAAGGAACTGCAGCATGGACATCCCTCCTGGGGGGTGATTTCTCGCTTTCCGTCTCCCTCTGTCTTTCTGGCGAACACATGTGCCCTATAGCAAAAACCTCTCCAAAAAAAGAGAAAAAAAAATCAGAAATATAAAGTACTAGGGCCAGCGGGTACAAGGTGGTTAAGGGCACTGGACTCCCTTGTGGTTGACCATGGGTTGAAGTCCTGGACCTGGTGGCTTGCTTTCTCACTCCCCCCACCCTGATCTGGTCAAATTATAATAAATAAGTAAAAATAAATAAATAACTATTTAAAAAAATAAAAATGATAAAAATACTGAGACCAGCAGATGGCTTAACGGTTATGTTGCTGGACTCATATAGTTGACTGCAGTTTGAGTCCTGGACCTGGCAACTTACACTTCACACTGGGTGCATATGCAAGCATGCCCAAAATCCCAAAAGGAGAATAGAGGAGAAAGAATTGCATGTGGTCATCTCCCCTAGGGGGTGATTTCTTGCTTTGTGTCTCCGTCTCTCCAGCAAGCACAACCTTCTATAAAAATCTCTCGGGACCAGCTGTTGGCACAATGGCTATGTCGTTGGACTCCCATGTAGTTGACTGCGGTTTGAGTCCCGGACCCAGTGGCTTAAAATCATGCCAGGCGCATGTGTGTGCATGCCCAAGATCCTGAGAGGAAAATGCATGAGAAGGGACTGCAGCGTGGCCATCCCCCCGGGGGGTGATTTCTTGCTTTCTGTCTTTCTGGAGAGTACACATGCCCTATAGGAAAAATCACTCCAAGGAAAAAAAAAAAAGGAAAAATCAAATCTCTCTTGGGGACCAGTGGATGGCATGGTGGTTAAGGCGCTGGACATTCCCCATTCCCACATGGCCCGACCATGGTTCAAGTTCTGGACCTGGTGGCTTATTTTCTCATCTTCTCTCTCCTTCTTTGTCTCTCTATGGTTAAATTAAAAATAAATAAATGAGGAAAAAAAAAAAAAAGACACACTCTAAAAAAAAGAGGAAAGAAATATAAAGTACTTTGATTTTAGTCTCCTTTTTTTTTCCATTTTGCCAGAAGGTGTGGGTACCAGAATGCTAGCCAGAAAGAGAAAGAGGAGAGGGGAGAAAGTACCTCCTTCATTGGGGCGTGGTCACGCCATAATTCCTCCTCCACCCTGTTGGGATTTTGGGTATGCACATATGCCCAGCATGTTTTTCTTTTCTCTGAATAATTATCTATTTAATTTAATTTTCTTCTTGTAAAGACTAATTCATTTAATTTCATTTACTTTTAAAATTTGACCAGAGAGTCAGAGAGAGAAAGTGAGAAACCAAGCCACCAGGTCCAGGACTTGAACTGTGGTCAGCCATGTGGGAGTTCAGCACCTTAACCACTATGCCATCTGTTGGCCCCTAATTTAATGTTCATATTATTTTTTAATTTGACCAAAGAAACAGAGAGAGAAGGAAGAAGAGTGAGAAAGGAAGCTGCCAGGTCCAGGACTTGAACTGCAGTCAGTCATCTGGGAATCCAGAGCCTCAGCTACCACATCACCTGCTAGCTCTAGCCCAGCATGTTTTTCAAGCCATATCCAGGACTTGGACCACATAGTCGGCCATATGGGATCCAGTTCCTTAATTGCTAGGCTATGGGACCAGCCCATAGTCTTTTATTTCACTTAAAAAAAAAAAATAGGGGTGCATGTGATCCTGAGAGAAGAATGGAAGAGAAGGGATTGCAGCATGGCCATCTCCCCTGGGGGGTGATTTCTCACTTTCTGTCTCTGTCTCTCTTTGTCTTACTGGTGAACACACACGCCCTATAGCAAAAACCTCTCCAAAAGTATAGAAAAAAGTACAAGATCTTCAAACAGTTCATAGAAAATATTACAAAAAAACGATACAAATTTCAAAATCTGTGTGCACCAAAATAGAGTTGTACTTTATTTTAGTTTTATTTTTTTCTTTAAGAATCACTTAATTTTATTATTATTACTATTTTTTAGTTTGGTACAGGGCTTATGTGCTCACCAGAGACAGAGAAAGAGAGAGAGAGAGCGAGAGAGAGAGAGAGAGAGAGAGACAGCAAGTTGCCAGGTTTAGGACTTGAACCATGGTCCGCCATGTCAAAGTCTAGGACCCCAACCATGGAGTCACCTGCTTGCCCCAAACTCATACTTTAACTATTTTCCCCTTTTATTTTTATTGCCAGGGTGTACATGCACTTTACAGAGAGAGAATCACCCTCCAATGTGGCATTATCATGCCACAATCTATCCTTCATCCCGTCAGGATTTTGGGCACACACACACACACACACACACACACACACACACACGTATCTGGCCTGTTTTTGAAGTCATTGGGGTTGGGATTTGAACAGTGTTCAGCCACATGAAGATCTAGCTTGCTTAACTCTTGGCCAGCCCTACATAAACTTTTGTTTTGAAGAATTATTTTATTTAACTTTATTAATTTTAATTTGACCAGAGAGGGACAGAGTAAGAGTGAGAGTGAGAGAGAGAGAGGGAAAGTGAGAAAGCAAGCTGCTAGGTCCAGGACTTGAAACCATGATCGGTTAGGGGGGAGTCCAGCACTCCAAACCCATGCCACCTGCTGGCCCTTCCATAAATTTTTTGAAGTCTCCTCATATATACTAGAATGATACAATAGAAACTTAATGAAACTTCAGATTTAAGCTTAAAATAAATATTAAGCTTATTACCAAAAGCTAAAAAAACACATAATTGACAGGTTTGAAAAGAGGCTGTGTAAAAATCTGAACTGTAGCGTCCTCATAAGAGTATTAAAGGAAACTAGGCAGTTTAGAAGAATTGAATGTATGCCAGACACTTGTCTGAATAATTAATATTTCTTTTTAAAAAATAATTATTTTACTTATTTATTATAATTTTCCAGTTTGATCATCAAGAGACAGAGAAAGAGAGAGAGGAAAAGCAAGAAAACAAGCCACCAGGTCTGGGACTTGAACCATGGTCGCCCATGTGGGAGTCCTTTAACAACCACACCACCTGCTGGCCCCTGAAAAATTGGTATTACAAATCTTCATGAAAACCCATGGAGGTAGATACTATTATCTCTTCCATTTTTTGGGGAAAGAATTTTGCTAAAGGGCATGTGTGCAATAGAAAGTGAGAACTCACTCCCTGGGGAGATGCCCATGCCACAATCCCTTCTCCTCCATTCTCCTTGAGAAAGCAAGCTGCCAGGATCTGGGACTTGAACCACAGTTGGCTATGTGGGAGTCCAGTGCCCTTAACCACACCACCTGCTGGCCCCTGATTAGTTTTAATTTTTTAAAAAAATTTGCCAGAGGCTGCATGTACTCCCTGGGGAGAGAACGAGAGAAAACTCAGATGAGGAATGGTCATACAATTCCTTCTCTATTTCTCTCTGCTTTTGGGATTCTGGGCATGCACACATATGTGTCTGGCATGCTTCTCAAGTTTCAGAGCCTGGAACTCAAACTGTGTAGTGGCCCATGTAAGATCTAGCTCCCTTAGCCACTATACCATGGGCTGTCTTCACCATCTGTTTTATGACTTTGGACAAGTCACTTTAACTTTTGTGGCCACTGTTTTCTCATTTGTACAATGAGAGATTATTCTGTAATTTTAAAGCTTCTCTATGATGCTAATCCTTACAATGAACTCCAAACACCTGACTAAAAACATTTGCATAATGGAAACTCATCTGGTAGTTACTTAAATGACAATGTAAAAGGTAATTTAGGAGTAGCACAGGCAGGTGGTGTGGTGGTTAGGGGCACTGGACTCCCACATGGTTGACTGTGGTTCAAGTCCCAGACCTGGTAACTTTTTTCTTTCCTTCTCTCTCTCTCTCTCTCTCTGTCCCTCTCTAGTAAAATTAATTAAATAAAGTTAAATTTAAAAATTCTTTAAATAACTATTTTATTTAATTTTATAATTACCATTATTTTTTAACTTAACCAAGGAGAGACAGAGAGAGAGAGAGGGAAAAAGTGAGAAATCACCTTCCGGGGGGGGTTGGCCATGTGGGAGTCCAGTTCCTCTAATTGTCCCGCCACCTGCTGGCCCCTAAATAAATTTAAAAAAAAAAAAAAAAGGTAATTTAGGTGGACCATCAGATAGTGTAATGGTTATTTCACTGGACTCCCACATGGTTGAACATGGTTTGAGTCCTGGACCTGGTAGCTTGAAAATCACGCTGGGCATTTGTGCGTGCATGCGTGCCCAAGATCCTAGGAGGAGAACGGAGAAGGAACTATGACGTGGCCATCTCCCCAGGGGGTGATTTCTCACTTTCCTCTCTGTCTCTGTCTTTCTCTCTCCAGTGAGTGCACATGCCACAAAACAAAAACCTCTAAAAAAAAAAGGTAATTTAGGTATGAGCTGACAGAGTGATTTAACTTTTTTTCCTAAAGAGAGATTTTTACTGCAGGGCATGAGTACTCATTGGAGAGACAGAGAGATAGAAAGGGAGAAAGCACCCACCAGTGAGGATGGCCACACCACAATCCCTTCTCTGGATTTTGGGCATACACGCAAACACGTCTAGCATAAATTTCAAGCTGCTGGGTCCAGGACTCAAATCACAGTCGACTATGTGGGAATCTAGAAATGAAACCATTATACCATCTGGTATTCCTAATTTTTCAACTTTCAATATCACAGATAGTATGTATATTCTCACCTAGTGATGTACTTGCTAAAACAAAAAACTCTCATTTTCCACTGGTCTTTCTTACTTTCTTTATGTTGTACCTGTTTTAGGGTGAACACTAAAAGGGCTCTTCAGTAAATGATTGATTCCTTTGCTAACATTGATATCCAGTCGAGGAAAACAGTACTGAAGCATAATCTCCCACTCCAGCCAAGGTCCACATTTGTCATTTTTGATGTTATTCTAAAAGTAAATGCAAGGCCAGCGTCAGGATCAGTAGGCACTTTGAACAATGTATTTAAAGAAAGTTAAAACACAGTCTTCAACCACCTTTAACTGACGAGGCAAAACAATCAGAATTTAATTAAAAATTACATTATTATATCCATAAAACAGATTTTAATGAGTATACCTGATATTTGCTGGCTACTTTCTTCAAATGTTCCCAGCGCTGAAGTGAATTGTGAGACTTTTGGAAGTTTTGTTGAAGTTCATCATGATTAGGTGATGGGTCATTAAGGAATATACTCAGTTAGGAAACATCAATGAATAGTTTTCAGTATGTATACCATAAAGTTAGCTAAAGCTTATAAATATTTAGGAAGTAATTATTAACATTGTATAAAATATAAATATTAAGTGCTTACATCCTTAAAAGATTCTCGTGTAAAAATACAGTGGTGAGGTGGGACCAGCAGTTGGTGTAATGACTATGTCGCTGGACTCCCAATGTAGTCAACTGTGGTTCAAGTCTTGAACCCGGTGGCTTAAACTCACACTGGGTATGTGTGCATGTGTGCCCAAGATCCCGAGAGGAGAATGGAGGAGAAGGGACTGTGGCATGGTCATCTCCCCTGGGAGGTGATTTCTCGCTTTTTGTCTCTCTGGTGAGTACATGTGCCCTATAGCAAAAAACTCTCCAAAAAAACCCCCAAAAAGCAAACACAGTGGTAAGGGGCCAGCAAGTGGCATGGTGGTTAAGGTGTTGGACTCCTTCCATATGGCTGACCATGGTTTGACTCCTGGACCTGGTGGCTTGCTTTCTCACTTTCTCTCTCTCACTCACTCTGGTGAGCACACATGACCTATAGCAAATTAAAACAGTAGTAATAACAAAAAATAATTAAACTAAGTAAATAATTCTTTTTAAAAATATTACTGTGGTGATATAATAGAGAGGATGTCCAAATAACTATATGATATAATACTAAAAAATCCCTAGTCTGCACATTCAAAAAAATTCCATTTGCTAGTGGGTGTGTGCACTGGTCAGATAGAGTGAGGGAAAAAACACCATGGGAGATGGTCATGCCACAATCCCTTCTCTATTTCTCCTTTGGGGATTTCTGAGCATGCACGCACATGTGTCTGGTATGTTTTACAAGGCACCAGGCCTGGGACTTCAACTGCACAGTCAGCCATGTGGGATTCAGCTGCCTTAAACATCATTCCACCAGCTGGTCCCTGTACAATTTTTTTTTTAGAGATTTTTTTTTTTTTTTTTGCTATAGGGCAAGAAAGTGAGAAATCACCCAGGGGAGATGGCCACACCGCAATCCCTTCTCCTCTTGGGATTTTGGCAATGCATGCACACGTGCCCGGTATGAGGTTTAAATTTAAGCCACTGGGTCCATGACTGGAACCACTGTTGACTATGTGGGAGTCCAGATGTAACCATTACATCTGCTGGTCCCTCCTGTACATTTAAAAAAGAGAATTATTTTATTTAACTTTATTTATTTATTTTAATTTGACCAGAGAGGGACAGAGTGAGACAGAGAGGGAAAATGAGAAAGCAAGCCGCCAGGTCTGGAACTCAAACCACAGTCAGCCATGTGGGAGTCCAGCACCCTTAATCACCACATCTCCTGGTATCCTCCTGTACATTTTTAAAAATGTTTACCAATTTCTTCTATAAGACAGAGACAGCACCCCTGACAGGGTCTGGATGCCGCTATCCAACTCTAGCTTCAGCTAGCCCTGGATCACGGGCATGTGTGCTTGTAGTACTCAGGGAGGTCTCTGGCCAAGAACCAGAACTTTCCCACACAGGCCAGCCCTGCACAGTCGTGTTTTACTGCTGCACCACTGTTTGGCTCCATGCACATAATTTGACTAAATGATTCACCATTCTTTAGCCATTAATTCTAGGACTAACTACTAAGATGAGAAAACCTATTTATGAAATGGCCCCATTTCTTTTTATATTCCAGAACAGAAATATAAAATGCAGAAAAACAGGAGATATTTCATGTAAAAAAGTTAAACTTATAGAAACGGTCTTGGGAAAGGATATTTTCAGGAACAAGAGCTAAGATCTTATCCCAGCTTTCTTTATTTTCAAGAATATCTTGACCAATCAAAGCATATTCTTCAAAGTATTTTTTAATTATGTTTATAGATTTTCTGTAAGAATAATAACAATAAACTCCCATTACTATTAAAAACACATAAGCCACATAGATACTGTTGCCATTAGGTGGGAAGCTACCACTTCCTTTCACCGAATTTCTAGGCCTTAACTAGGTAAAATGGGAATAATATCTCTTTGTAGTGTTATAAGAGTTGAATAAGATGCCTTCAGGGGAAAGAACCTAGCATAGTACCTGGTATAGGCACAGAACAGAACTCAAAATATGTTTACTTCTTAAACTTTACAACCTAAGTGGTTAACAGCATTGTAAATATGTGATATGGTTAGAAAACATCCAATGTAGGACAAAATAATACGCCAACAGTAGAATAGTCTACGGTTTCTACTTTGAATCACTTGTTTGAACATCTCAATAATTATACAGTGGTTGCAGTTTGCAAATATACTTCACATCTGTTTCATTTAATCTCTGCCTTAATTCTATGAGATAAGTAGAGCAAATGTTGTTCTCCCTATCATGCATGTAAAGAAATGGAAGGTCCAATATTTTATCAAGGTCATAGTAAGTGGCAGAAAAGGGATTCTTACTCCTAATGTAAATGCTCTTTCCACTAGCCTGAAGGAAATAGTAATTTCAGTGGAAAGAGCATGGGCTTACAGAGATACCATTATGTCTCTCATGGGGTTGTTGTGAAGACCACTGAGAACGTATCACAAATACAGCAGCATAAAATAGCATTCAATTAACTATAGCTATTATTATAAAATGCTAACCAGCAGTGAAAATGGGAGGCAAGGTAATTCTAAAGGCACATGCAGGTAATTTACATACAACTTAAAACTATGTGGAGCCTTTCCCAACAGACCTGACAAAAGGGTGAATTTTTTCACTTAGGTGAACTTTCTTTTTAACATCTTGACCACCCTGAAAAATAAAGTATCAAAGAAAAGAACATAATGCATATTATATAACACAATAAATGAAATAATTTAAAAAATTCTTCAATATGTTCTAATACATTTAAAATTACATAAATTCAAAGCTATTGATTAAGTTCTGTCAAAGTACATAATCCTAAATGCTATTTTTACAGTTTCAATACCTGTATTTTCTGGGTTAATGTTATCCGACATAAGTGAATAATTGAACTAAAAAAGTAAGTTAACCTTCCCTTTGCCAAAAAGAAGGATATTTACCACAACATATGAAATATCTTAAAAATGTAGCCACTAAGACTTTGTTTTATTTGTCTTCTTTGAGACAGAGAGAGATAAATCTCCACAGATCTGGCCACGCTATGATCCCTTTCCTCCAGTCCTCTACCCCACTGGATCTTGGGTACTTTTATGCCTGGTGTGTTTCAGGCTGACCGGCATGAGGACTCTAACTGTGGAAGCCATGTGGGATCTTGCCCTATTATGCCTTTAAATGGTAAGGTCATCTACCCTGGAATGTGAATACTATCAATGACAGTTTAACTATTAAACAAATAAATGTACAGGACCAGCAGATGGCATAATAGTTACATCACTGGACTTCCACGTAGGTGACTGCAATTTGAGTCCTGGACCTTAAAACTCATGCTGGGCACATGTGCGTGTGTGCCCAAAATTCTGAGAGGAGAATGGAGAAGGGACTATGGTGTGGGCATCCTCCTTGGGAAAGGGAGATTTCTTGCTTTCTGTGTCTCTGTCTCTTTGGCGAGCACACATGCCCTACAGAAAAATCTCTCTTAAAATAAAATACATGTAAATTACAAGAGGATCTTACCTTTACAAGACTCAAATATTCAACTATCCCAGAACGTACCGCAGAGGACAATTTTCTAACCGATTCATCACAGACCCAACAATGAACACCTCTCCTTCCAGAATATACCCAGAGACAATGTTTAAATCCAAAGTCCTCTGAAAAAAGGAGAAATAATAGGTTTTAAAACAATTTATAAACTTCTTGTTTTTGCTTACTTCCTTAGCTTCATTTTTACCTATCATCACATATACTTATTGTAATCATACTAAATTACTTAGCTTCCTGTGCCCCCAGATTCTTACCTTCATATCTTTAGCCATTCTAGTCTCTCTGCCAAGACTTGTTTTATTTCCTTCCAATTGCCATCTATCATTAAAAACTTAGTCTAGGAATATTTAAGAAGTTAATATATGTACAATGTTTGCAACAGTGCCTGGCACACAATAAGCCCACCAAGTTAGAGTTAGCTATCATCATCATCATATTGTCACCTTTTGGGAAGCCCTTTCTGACTCCATCTCTTCCCATTCCCATATGCATTTCTGCTGTTTTATATCCCCCATGCATATTATTTAATACAAACTAAACCCTCCATTTATTATTTGTCTCCTTCACAGCTGTATAACCTTTTAGAGGTAAGAACAGTTACCTTTTATATTTCTCTCATCTAGAATAGCATTAAGCATACACAGTTGCTCAAGAGATGATTGAACTGGAAAAAAATAAACTGGTCTGTTCAACAGCTGTTTAAAATTTCCAACTTAATAAACTTTACAATCCTATTCTAAGTTTCCTCTCATGTTTCAAAGAAAACATGTTAGAAATGTATGAGATTTGGTTATAAAACAGAGACTGCTATCCAGAGGAAAACAGATTCTTGCATCTCCACTCAGGCACTGCCAATACTTGCCCTTCAATGCTCGGTCAATGATGCGTATGGCCATTGTCATGAGGGTCCAGCACTTAGAGCATATGTCTGCAGAACTAGAACAGAGTCATCATTACTCATTGCCAGTGATATCGCCCTCCTCATCAGCAAGACCCAAGGTCCTTACCTACAACATCTCCTCACATCGTCATAGTCTGTCATGTCAATGTCAAATACCAGTTCTTTTTCCTGAGCCTGGAAAGCGCCCAGCTTCACTGTATTGTGTTGATTGGGCTATAAATATAAAACATTGATCAGTTTCCATAAGAGCTGCCATGCTGCTAAACTTGCTTCTTTTCTACCCACATGAAAATAGCTAAAGAGAAAGAAATGAATTATACAATGCCAACTCTATCATAGTTAAAATTTATTACACTGGTTCTCACGCATCCAGAATTGATGACAGTTTTAACTATTACTTACATAAAATAGAACCTGATGAATATGGCGGTACTTCAGTAAGTTCATGGAAAATGCATATAGTAAAAATTACACATAGATTTCAAATTTTGTTTGCACTAAAATAAACTCGTATTTTTAATAACATTTTCCCATGAATTAGTTCCCTTGTACATATCCACCATAAATATTTCTTGGTTGATGAAAATAAAGACCAAAGAAAGCTGACTCTGGGGCCAGTAGCTGGTGTGGTGGATGAGTTGCTGGGTTCAAGTCCTAGACCTGGCAGCTTCCTTTCTCACTTCCCCTTTCTTTCTATCTGTGTCTGGTCAAATTAAGAAATGAAAAAAAGATAATGATAAATGGAATATTATTGATGATAGCATGCTTGATTAAGTCACTATGCAGTTTGTCCTAGATGGGAAACTACATTTAGTATGTTGTAATGATGCTCAGGGAATGAGTGTTAGGTAATATAATATAAAAAAAAAAAGTTGCAGGGGAGGAAAAAAAAATGCACATTGATGACTGCAGCGAGCTGTATGGGCACAG